AAAAGGAAAAGGGAAAAGGAAAAGAAAAGGGGGAAAGGAAAAGAAAATGGGAAAAGAAAAGGGAAAAGGAAAAGAAAAGGGGGAAAGGGAAAAGGAAAAGGGAAAAGGAAAAGAAAAGGGGGAGGAGGGATGGAAAGAAAATAGGAAAAAGGGGGGAAGGAAAAGGAGGAAAAGAAAAGGGGGAAAGGAAAGGGAAAAGAAAAAGGAAAAGGGGAAAAGGAAAAGAAAAGGGGAAAGGGGGAAAGAAAAGGTCGAAAGGGAAAGACAAGGGGTAAGGGGGAAAATGGGGAGGAGAGGAAAAAATGGTGGAAGAGGAAAGATGAGGGAGAAGGGGGAAAAGGGGGAGAGGGAATGAAAAAGGGAAGAGGAAGGGGAAGGGGAAAAGGTTGGAAGGGGAAAGACAAGGGGGAAGGGGGAAAAAAAGGAAAGAGGAAAAAAGGAGGGAAGGGGAAATAGTGGAAGAGGAAAGATGGGGGAAGGGGAAAGAAAAAGGGGAGGGGGAAGAAAAAGGGGAAGCGGAAAGAAAAGGGGGAAGGAGGAAAGAAGAGCAGGAAGGGGAAGACAAGTAGGAAGGGGAAAAAAGGGTGGAAAAGGAAAGGGAAATGGAAGGAGGAAAAGGGGGTAAGGGGAAAGAGAAAGGGAAGGGGGAAAAGGAGGGAAGGGTAAAGAAGAAGAGGAAGGGGAAAGAAAAGGAGAAGGAGAAAAAGGGTGGAAGGGGAAAGAAAAAGGGAAAAAAGGGGGGAAGGGGAAAGATGAGGGAGAAGGGGAAAAAAGGGGGGAAGGGGAAAGGAAAAGGAGAAGGGGAAAGGAAAAGGAGAAGGGGAAAGAAAAATGGGAAGAGGAAAGAAAAGGGGGAAGGGGGAAAGAAGAGTGGGAAGGGGGAAGACAAGGGAGAAGGGGAAAAAAGGATGGAAGAGGAAAGGGAAGGGGAAAGAAAAGAGGAAGGGGAAAGAAATGGGAGTAGGAGGCAGAAAGAGAAGAGGAAGGAAAAGAGGGAAGAGGAAAGAAAAGGGGGAAGGGGGAAGGGGGAAGAGAAGAGGGAAGGGAGAAGAGAAGGGGATGAGGAAAAAGAAGAATCGTTCAGCTGGAAGGGACCTGCAACCACCTGAGAGGAGGAAAGGAGAGGCCTTCCCATCCCCCTCCGGGTCCCTTCCAGCTCAGGGATTCCAGGATTCCATCATCCAGCAGTGTGGACACTTCCATCAGCTCGGGGTGCTCTGGAGGGGAGAAATAATTGGGTTCTCCGAGCAGGAGAGAGCCCAAAAAAAGGACTTCCAGTCCCGGGGTTCTGCTTCCCTCTGGATCAAACGGCTCCAGTTGTGTCCCAGAGGAATGATCGTGCTCCAGAGTCACCTCCAGAGCTGCTGAGGGGAGGAAAACCTTCAACAGGGCCTTTATTCCCAGCAAACCCAAAGCCAGGGGGTGGAAAAGACTTCCCAGACATCCCCCAGGAAAGGGTGAATGGCAGGAAAAGGGAATGAAACTCGTTGGAAGAACCAAACTCCCGGGAGGAAAACGTCCTTCTGCTGCCAGGGTTGGCACCAAGAGGTAAAAAGACATTTTTGAAGAACTGAGTTGGCCAAAATCCCTCCAGTTTTCTCTCCAGGATTTCTGACAGTCTTTTTTTTTGGGATCAGTTCCCGGTTTTCTGGGTAGGAAACCTGTGTCCAGGCTGCAGGATTGTGGCGCTGAGCTGGAGGGAGTCACTCGGAGTTTTGTGCTCCTGAGAGGACTCCTGCACCTGGTTTTTATGGAATCATGGAATATCCCAGGCTGGAAGGGACCTACAAGGAGTGCTGAGTCCAATTCCTGGCCCCCAGGGATCCCTCCCTGTGCCTGGATCTGCCTGGATATTGAATCCAAGCCTGATTCCAACACGGCCCAACCTGAGCTCCAGCTCCTCAGATCCCCCATTTCTCCACATTCCTGGGACACAGCTTGGAGAAGGGAAGAGCAACAGCACCTCCGGGGCCAGATCCCAGAGAATAAAGGCTGGGAGAGAGGGAACAGAACCTCCGGGGCCAGATCCCAGGGAATAAAGGCTGGGAGAGAGGGAACAGAACCTCCGGGGCCAGATCCCAGAGAATAAAGGCTGGGAGAGAGGGAACAGAACCTCCGGGGCCAGATCCCAGGGAATAAAGGCTGGGAGGGAGGGAACAGAACCTCTGGGGCCAGATCCCTGGGAATAAAGGCCAGGAGAGAGGGAACTCCTGGAACTCCAGGAGAGAGGCTGGCGTGGCTGGAGGCCGAGTCAGGACCTCCCAGGAGAAGCTGCATTCCTGGGACAAATCCCAGAGAAGGAAAGAGCAGTAGCACCTCTGAGGCCAGATCCCTGGGAATAAAGGCTAGGAGAGAGGGAACAGAACCTCTGGGACCAGATCCCTAGGAATAAAGGTTGGGAGAGAGGGAACAGCACATCCAGGCCCAGATCTCCAGGGAATAAAGGCTGGGAGAGAGGGAGCAGCCCCCCTGGCATGGCTGGAGGCCAAGTCATGACCTCCCGGGGTGGCTGCATTCCTGAGACACAACTTGGGGAAGGGAAGAGCAGGAGGACTTCTGGGGCCAGATCCCCAGGGAATAAAGGCCGGGAGAGAGGGAACAGATCCCTGGGAATAAAGGCCGGGAGAGAGGGAACAGCCCCCCTGGCATGGCCGGAGGCCGAGTCAGGACCTCCCGGGGGTGGCTGCGTTCCCGTTCCACGGGAGGGGCCGGCTCTGATGTTCCCTCAGCTGGAACACACGAGGAAAAAGAGCATCAGGTTTCCCGGGATCACAGTCCCGTGTCCCCCGGCGGGTACCCCCTGGCCCATATAAACCCCCCAGCCCTCCTCGGCCCGCCCGGACACAGCCCCGAGGAGGCTCCGGGTCAGACACAGCCCCCAGGACACTCCGGGTCGGACACAGCCTTGAGGACACTCCAGGCCGGACACAACCCCCAGGACACTCCGGGTCGGACACAGCCTTGAGGACACTCCAGACCGGACACAGCCCCCAGGACATTCCAGGCTGGACACAGCCCAGAGCCCACGTTCCAGGCCAGACACAGTCCCGAGGACGCTCTGGGCTGAGGACATTCCAGGTTGGACGCAGCCCCCAGGACACTCCAGGCCGGACACAGCCTTGAGGACACTCCGGGTTGGACACAGCCCACGCTCCGGGTCAGACACAGCCCTGAGGACATTCCAGGCCGGACACAGCCCAGAACCTACGCTTCAGGCCAGACACAGCCCCCAGGACACTCCGGGCCGGACACAGCCCTGAGGACATTCCAGGCCGGACACAGCCCAGAGCCCACGTTTAAGACCGGACACAGCCCAGAGCCCACGTTCCAGCTCGGACGCAACCCCGAGGACATTCCAGGCCGGACGGGCCCTCATATCTCCCGAGGATGTGGGAGCTGCGCTCCATCGCCTTCAGCCGCGCCGTGCTGGCCGAGTTCTTGGCCACCCTGGTGTTCGTGCTCTTCGGGCTGGGCTCGGCGCTGGCCTGGCCCTCCATGGCCAGCCCGGGGGTGCTGCAGATCGCGCTGGCCTTCGGGCTGGCCATCGGCACCCTGGTGCAGGCCCTGGGCCCCGTCAGCGGCGCCCACGTGAACCCCGCGGTGACGGTGGCCCTGCTGGTGGGCTCGCAGCTCTCCCTGCTCAGGGCCCTCTTCTACATCGCGGCCCAGCTGCTGGGCGGGGTGGTGGGGGCGGCCATCCTGCACCAGGTCACCCCCCCGGCCGCCAGGGAGGGCATGGCCATCAACAGGGTGAGTGGGACGGGGTCGGGGGGGTTTGGGGTTGTCAACAGGGTGAGAGGGGATGGGGTTGGGGGGGTTTGGGGTTGTCAACAGGGTGAGTGGGGATGGGGTTGGGGGGGTTTGGGGTTGTCAACAGGGTGAGTGGGGATGGAGTTGGGGGGTCTGGGGTTGTCAACAGGGTGAGTGGGACGGGGTCGGGGGGAGTTTGGGGTTGTCAACAGGGTGAGTGGGACGGGGTCTGGGGGGGTTTGGGGTTGTCAGCAGGGTGAGAGGGGACAGGGTCTGGGGGGGTTTGGGGAGGGTGAGGGGTGTGAGGAAGGGGTTTGGGGTCATCAACAAGGTGAGAGGGGAGGGGTGGGAGCAGTTTGGGAGGGTGAGGGGTGTGAGGAAAGGGTTTGTGGCCACCACCAAGGTGAGCCTTTGGCACATGGGTGGGCTTGGAATGGAGCAGGGAAGAGCAGGAAGAGTTTTTGGGAAGTCTGGGGGATGTAGAGAAGGGGTTTGTTTGAAGAAGGGGTTTGTTGATGGTTTGAACCATGAACAAGGTGAGCCTTTGGAACATGGAAAGGCTTGGAAGGGAGCAGGGAAGAGCAGGAAGGGTTTTTGGGAAGTCTGGGAGATGTGGAGAAGGGATTTGTGGCCACCAACGAGGTGAGGCTTAGGAACGTGGATGGGCTTGGCAGGGAAGACTGGGAAGGGCTTGGAAGGGAGCAGGGAAGAGCGGGAAGGGGTTTTTGGGAAGGCTGAGGGATGTGGAGAAGGGATTTGTGGCCACCAACAGGGTGAGGTTTTGGCACATGGAAGGGCTTGGAAGGGAGAAGGGAAGAGCAGGAAGGTTTTTTGGGAAGGCTGAGGGATGTGGAGAAGGGATTTGTGGCCCCAAGGTGAGGCTTTGGAACATGGAAAGGTTCGGAAGGGAGCAGGGAAAAGTGGGAAGGGTTTTTTTATGGATAATTCATGCAGGCAGAACTGCTGGGGGGAGGAAAAAAAATTCCCCAAATCCCTAATTCCCACTTTTCTGTTGGGTTTAAGCTTTAAACCGACAAAGCTGAGGAATTTTTTGAAAGTCCCTCCGGAACACGTGGATGCTCCGGCAGCGGCAGGAACATCCCAAGGATCCCGCTCTGGTTTCAGATGGGGGGAAATAAATCCAGGGAATCCACGAGGGGCTTCCCAGTGGGATCCCAACCCCCCTCGGGGGGTTTAAAACCTCGGGATTCTCCTTCCCTGCTCCAGTCCCGCCATTACAGGTGGAAGCAGCACCTGGAATTCCCCCGCCAGGGCTTGGCTCCGCTTCCAAAGGGATTAACGAGGGTTGGAAAAGGGGTTGGGGTTTAATCTGATCATCACCGAGGGCTTAAACCAACAAAAAAGTGGGAATTAGGGATTTGGGGAATTTTTTCCCTCCCTCTGGGCTGTTCTACCTGCACAAATTATCCTTAAAAAAACAAAAAAAGGTGTGGAAAGGGAATTTTTTTTCCCCTTTTTTTTAAGGCCAAAACATTTTTTTTGACGTTTTCTAAATGCAGTGTTTAAAAATTTGAAATTGTTTCTATTATTAAATATTATATTAACTATTATATTCCTATTGTATTATAAATAGATTATTGTACTGTACTATTATATTATATATAAGTATAATAATATTATATTCCTATTGTATTATAAATTTAATATTATTATACAATAATATATAATATAATAAAATATATATTCTAATATAATATTATATAATATATAATATATAATATAAATACAATAAATTTAAATATTATATTATATTTGTATACAAAATATTATTTATATAGTATATTGCATACAAATATTGTATTATTGTATATAACATTTATATAATACAAAATAATATTAAATATTTTAATTTTTAGCTAAAATAAATATTATTTACATAATATCTAGATATAAATATTGCATTATTAAATATGATATACAGTGCAACTCGTCAACTTTTCCAAAAGGCATTTGGAGCGTGAGGAAAAGAAAAGAGAAATTCCAGGGGAAGAGAAATCCCCCCAAAAATGCCAATAAAAATTTCCCAAGAGGGGGAAAAAATTCCCAAAGAAATCCCAATAAAACCTCCTGAAAGACGGAAAATCCAATAAAAATGCCAATAAAATTTCCTGAGAGGGGAAAAATCCAATAAAAATTTCCTGAGAGTGGGAAAATTCCCCCCAAACAATGCCAATAAAATTTCCTAAAAGTGGGAAAATCCAAAAAAAATTTCCTGAGAGGGGGAAAATCCAACTGAAATTTCCTGAGGGTGGGAAAAGTCCCCCAAAAAATGCCAATAAAATTTCCTGAGAGGGGAAATGTCCAATACAAATTTCCTGAGAGGGGGAACATTTCCCCCCAAAAAATGCCAATAAAATTTCCCGAGAGGGGGAAAATCCAATGAAAGTTTCCTGAGGGGGGAGAAATTCCCAAAGAAATGCCAACACAAATCCCGTCTCTCCCACGGAGCTGCTCCTTTTCCCTGGGAATTTTTCCCTCCTCTCGGCTCCGGGTGCCAGAACTCCGGGATTTCTCCCATCGGGAATGTGTTTTCC